GATATTTGTTCTTACTTTATGTACTTCAAAAATAAAGAACCCCCTTAAATTATAATTATTTTCCCGCAATTTAAGAAATCTTTGAATACCATCTGGAAGACTATTCTTACTCGATATAGTATCTCCAGTGTTCTTAAATACACTATGTCACAAAATTTTAAAGCAGAAGGCCTTAAGAACAGTGGGTTTGTGGAATCAAAAATAATTCATTTTCATTTATTTATATTTCACCAAGTCACAACAAACGCTGTTCACTGTACAAAACAATCTAAGGAAGCCCGCAGATTGCGTTGAATCACTTCTTCACAGTCTCCCATCCTGAGCAGCACATTGGCGACAGTGGAAAGAAAAAACCTCCATTTAACAGGAAGAAACCTCCAGCAGAATCAGGCTCAGGACATGGGCCGTCTGCCTCGACCGGCTGGGTTTGTGGGGGCAAAAAAAAGACAGAGAAACACTGGTCCAGGTGTGTTTTCCTCTGGAAGAGAGACAAAACACATTATTGATAGAAATAATTACATGTAGAGGAGAGAGACTGGGAGACTAAAGACAGCAGCAGAGTGAGGACATGTGGACAGTTTGTCCTCCAGCAGTCTAAACTTATAGCAGCAGAACTATGAGATAACTCAGGAAACCTAAGCCTAATTGTATAGTGATACAGATTTGCTTCCATTCTGACAACATCTTTTACAGGAAAAGTCTTGCATATTTCAACGAGACGATGTCAAACTTCATGCTGCATCCATTACAACAGCATTACTTCATGGCAGGCCTGCATGCAGTCCAGACCCCTCACCAATAGAAAACATTTGGTGCATTATGAAACAAAAAAAAATCTGGCAAAGARGACCCAGGACTGTTGAACCACTAGAATCCTACATCAGACAAGAATAAGACAACATTCCTCTACAAAACTTCAGAAACTGGTTGCCTCATAGACATTTATAGACTCTTATTAAAAGCAGAGGAGATGTCTCACTGTGGTAAACGTGGCTTTGCTGCTGCCATAAAAGTGAAAATTAACTTCTTTTTTTGTCCACTTTTAAAGAAAAGTACTTCTCTAAAACTTCTGACAAGTTTATGTTTGCAATTTAGGTTTACAAGATTCGCCAAGTATTGCATTTTGTTTTATTTACATTTTGCACATCTCAATTTCCAAAAAGGAGGTTGTAGGATGAGTTTGTTTGAATTGTACTTTAAAGTGGAAATAATTGGAACCTAAATATCTGTACTTATTTTACAAAATTACTCAAGTTTGATAAATGAAAAAAAGCTTGTGGTTTAAAAAATTGTTTTCTCCTTCCAGAGTGTCAGAAACTCTGCAGAGCATCTTCTCGAGCCGTGCCCAAATCAGACGAGAACAGCTGGATCTGGAGAGGCAACTGAAGGCAAATGAGCTGCGCCAGCGCTACAGTGAGGAGGACTACCTGCAGGTCCAATACTTCTGTGCCAAAGAGAAGACAGAGAAGGTAGTTGATGAAAACACCGCATGGTCTTTTTTTTTTCATCGTCCCTGCAGAAAAAAGTGCTGAGTCCTCAGTTGGTCAGTATTTATTCTACAGTTGTCTGTTTACAGCACTACAGGAAACACACAGTTTTAGGATTCATGGCTTTTTTGTGCTGTTTGAATGTCAGTGATAGACCAAGCTGTACAAAATGTTTGACACATTGAAGTGAATTTTTAATCATTCATTATTAAGCTTTGCAAAATGTCTCACCAAACCAAMCTTTAAWAGAAAACAAACCGAACAAATGACAAAATCTACAATGCTGCATAAGAATCTCTCGTCATCGTATTCCTGCTTGCAGTCACCACTATTTTGATTGCGTGCACCGACCGTTCACYATCTCATTCGAATTACCAATAATTTTTCTTTTTTTCTTTAAACAGGCCACTTGTAAACATGAYCGAAAGATTGCCAGCCTGCGCACTCAGCAGCAGCACATCTTCAAACGTTTGAAGGAGACCGAGACGCGCTTCCTGGAAAATGACGGTTTGCTTCATCGTGTCGAAAACGAGATTAAGTTGCTAAAGTCAAACGATCAGAGCTCGGAGGTAAGTGGAACTCGGTGACCCTTTTCCCGTTTAGTAGAGCTTGAAACYGCAGCCAGATTTGTGCTTTTTCACTGTGACAGACGAACTTGATGACAGACTTTTTCACACCTCTTTGTTTTTCTGGTACACTCAGTTCAAGGTTTATCATCATCTCTGACGATTTACATATTTTATCTCCCACTTTTCTAATGTTGCTCAAATAAATTGTTTATATTATTTTCTAGAATTGTCTTTCAGTAGCAGATCAGTAAAGGCAGTTTGGGAGATAAGCTATGAAACACGTGATGAAATGTTGGAGGGTTGATAGAAATGATTGGTTGCCAAAAAATAACCTAACAATGTGGGTCACATTTGTCAAAATTCATTGCTTACTGTTTTTTTTTGTTTGTTTGTTTGTTTGTTTGTTTTGGAAGGTAGGCTGTATCTTAACTGGCATCGTGACTGCCTTTGTTTTCTTCCCATCTGTTCTCCCAGTAATTAGAAGCATGCTCATTTTATTTCTCRAGCTCACTCGTGGATCACCGAAGAGAATAAATCAATAGCCTCTGCTCATCCTTCACACAGCAGCCAGTTACCTAAAACCATCTCCATGTTATTTTTTTCTTCTTTATCCTTTCTTCCAGGAACTGACCCAGAACTATGACGCACCCACCAGTCAGATGTTCTCTCTGCTGTTGTTTCGTAGTTTTTCTTACGTCACGGGTCTTTTTTTTTTCTTGTACCCTCTCTGCCCTTACCTTGAGCTGTCTGCTTTTCTGATGAAACGTGGATGAACTTTGTGTCCTCTCCCCAGTTTACTGATCCCTCGCCAACTTTTTGTGCCTAATTCTGCCCATTAGTGTTCGCTCACTATGTTGTTATGTCAGAAAGCCTTGATTAGTCATTGCTGCTCCCTGAAATTTATTTATTTATTTATTTATTTATTTATTTATTTATTCAAAAGGGGACAGTGCAATTTAATAAAGCATGACAATTRATAAGTTAAAAAAGCCAGAATTATCCAAACGGCTATTTTCCATCTGTAGTCCCCTGGCCTTAAGGTTGGTCAATATTGGCAAAAAAATTAATCACGATTAATTGTGGTATTTAGCCGATAACAATTAATTTGACGATTAATGCCCTGGTGTCCCTGGACACCTTTATGTCCTGGTCACATGACCAATTTAGTGGGAAAGATTTGCTCTTCGTAAAAATCTTTTTCAAACTGTGTCAAAATCCCAGACTTCAGGCTGTACTTCAAATTTTAAATTGTGTTGATAAATAAATTACAGAACTTTTGTTTAAATGTTCGTCATATTTGAAGTGGAGAGGAGCACCGAGCGGACTGAACGGGGAACTATCCAGTCACTCTGCCTGGTGGCATTAATCGTATTAATCGTCAAGTGCCAAAAAATAATCGATTAATGTTTTTCTGACAATTAATTGCAGACGATACGATTATGCCCAACCCTACTGGCCATGATGTTAAAAAGCAGTATAATACAAGAGTAAATATACYATAATAATAATAATAATGTCCATAACTTTGATGGCTTGCTAGTACAATGTTTCGATTAATTTAATTGTACTTTTAGAGGCCTGTGACAAGCTAGATATACAATAAGTTAAATGGCTAAAAATCATACTATATAAAAACATCTTTGCTGCCTCGGTAGACATTTCATTCCTGACTGAACGAAAATTTGCTATATTCAACTTGACTATTTTATGAATCTTATCAACTTGAACTTTGAAGGAGAAGTTTGAATCAATTATCAAACCCAAAATATTTAAATTGCTTAACAGTCAGCAATTTTTCACCTGCAACCCATATACTGTATCTGAATCCTGGGAGCTTCTGTTAGTTTTACTGGAAAACATGCTGACTGTGAGACATTCAACTGTAGACAGCATTCTTGTAGCCGTATTGTTACATAATTCATTGCCTTTGTGAGTTTGGTTACAACAATATTCTTAGAGTGGCCATGAACAAATAAAACTGTATCGTCTGCATACATGATACATTCGACTTCAGGGGGAAAAACAGAAGGCAGATCATTTCCATAAAGACTAAATAAAAGAGGACCAATAACTGAACCTTGTGGAACACCTGTAGACAGTTTTAAGTTGTTCACAAATATCACCTTTCTTCCCTTTTTTAAGGTGTTAGAGAAAGACTTATATTGCCACAGACTGGAGCTGCAGGTAAATGATCTCAAACAGCACATCAAGCAGATGGTTGAGCTCACTGCGCTGCAGGATCAGGAGAACAAGCGTATGCAGAAGTAGGTTCACCATTAACTATGAGTTAGAACTATACCTAAAACAAAGACCACCTCAAAATATAACTGTGGTCTTACTCTGCAGAATGGTGAACATGTTGTTGCCAGCTTATAGTCGGCACTTCTCCTCGCTGCACGGGGCGGCGTTGGCCACGCCGGCGGACGAGGTGGAGAACCAGGAGCTGGAGCAGCTCGTGTTGAGGGAGAGAGGCGTGGTCTGGGCAGACCAGGAAGACGCGGGGCAACAGCCGAAAGGCGAAGAGCGCAGCGTGGAGTCGCAGGAGAGGAACGATGGAGGAAAAGTTGGGCTCCACAGCGAGTTGGCACCTGTCCTCTGTTTCTCCTATCTGCAATACCATCAGAACAGCCCCTGCAGTAAGTCGTCATGCTCCTGACATAAACCCCTTTTTACCCCTGCCTATTCAAAAGCTGCAAAGATTTGAGCTGATTCTGATTGAATAAACTRAAGCATCAGGCCAATTAGAAGAAATATGCTAAATAAATCATTTGTTGCCCAAATAAAACCAAATAGGCTGCACAATATGTCAAAAATTTACTGCCTTATCAGCAAAGCAAATCTCTATAAAATCAAAATGTTCAGAAGATGGGTGCTAAGACTTTTAATTTTTGTAACTTTTATACTTTTCAAAGTATTTAACTTTATATAAAATATTTTCCATGTAGAAATACACTACAATTTCCTCAAATCTTTCAAACATCTGGTTTTCCTTGTTGAAATCTGCTTCAGCATACTTACTCTGTTGTTTTGGCTTCTTGTGCTTATTTTAGCTTTAAAGTGCCTGTGACATGCATATTCTTCAAATACAAAAATCAAAGAAAACATCTTTATGTTTAAGAAAGTTGGAATAATACACACAATTTAACCCATTTTGTCCCATAACTGGCACATTTTCTTTTGAACTTGGCTCAGCCAAAGTAAAACAGGAAGTGACATCAAAGGGGAACTCTTGAACAAACAAAACTCTCTGGTCTTTGTTTATTGAAACAATATTATTTGAACTCTTAACTCTTTTTCATCTCTCTGATAGAAACTCAAAATAATATACAGAAACATCAGATTCTTCTCTACAGGCTGGGTTGTTGGCTGTTGTAGCAACGCTCTGTTCACATGCAGACATTCCCCTTTGACATCACTTCCTGTTACTTCACAGGCAAATATCTCAACAACTGTTCATCTCAGCGACATGAAATTTCTTTTGCGATATTTTGTCAATGTCCTCTTTCTAAAAATGCATTCATATGTATTACAAAAATGTGACATCACGGGCATTTTAAGTTAGCTTTTTGCTATTTTCAGCTTTTATCCAGCCTCATGCTACTTTTTGGTTATAAACAGCCTTTTTCTACTTTGAGTTTTTTTGATAACTTCTTTCTGTTTTCTGCTTTTATCTACTTTTTGGGTACTTTTGTTTTATCAGCTTGTCTTTTATTAGTTAGCGTTTTGTTAAATTCAGCTTTTAACCAGCCTTTTTGCTGTGTTTAGTTTTTTGTTAGCATTTTGCTACAATTAGCTTTTAAATGGTGCCCTCCCTTTTTTAACTTTACCAGCTCAGTTTCAGCTTCTTCAGCAGTAAGTCAGCACACAGCATTGTRTCTATAGTTCTAGGGAAATACATTCTGAGTTTGTTTGTTTTTTTTCAAACCAATTAACCAGGAGAAATGTCTTGCCTTTCAGAAACAACACTCAGCATTTTCTTAGTTTTATTTTAAATGTTTAATAGAAACAGTTCCTTTCTGTCTGAAAATTGAATTTACTGTAACACTAAATCTTTGCCCCTTTTTTTTTTGTCTCAGATTTATCGGTATGCTAAAAGTTTCCCACTTCTTCTTGCTGCTCCTCTAACAGCAGCTGTTGACCTTTGACCCTGCATAAGCTGAAATGTATAATTCAGCCATGCTTGGTTGGACTAGAAATTGATTTTGAAGAACGTTGTAACATTTTCCGGATAACACACAATATGACTTTCTCTCTCTATCTAACATGTAGAAACATTTGGTCTTCTGTAATAACAAGCAGTTTATAATCTACAAATCTTTACATAGTTTTTAAAAAAAGATAAATATAATGTGATTTGCATTTCTTCAAGATATGCTAGGCCTTTTAATAGTGTTATTTATAATGAAACTATATTTGAAAGCAAATCTATATTCTGCATTTTTTTGTTTTTTTGTTTAAGTTTTATAGTTTTGCCACTGGGGAATAAACAAACCCTAAATTATCTTAGACAGTGAGAAATATTCACACAACACCTGGATGTAAGTTTCAGGATCACTCAGAATATGAAAGTCCACTGCCCTGTGAGAGCGAAAAATACAGCCCGGTGTGTTTGGCGCCGGTCCAGGTCCGGTGTGATTTGTGGGAGCCACGAGACCGCATGTTTCATTTTTAACTGTCATCTCTGCATGACCTAGCAGCACCGGACCCTCGTGACTTATATGGTTTGTCACACAGTGGAGTGTAAACTGCAGTCTGCAGGACACGCCGCGGTGAAGTCTGTTGTTTGTCAAGGAGTAAAGTCTGCACCTGTCCCTCTGCTCCCATGTTTGCCTGCTTTATTTGACGGTGCTTTTTGTTGACTTTTAATTAAAAATTAAATGTCAGTAAAACAAATGGGGGGGGTCCCACAACCTATGCATACGGATATTAATCTGGGCCAATTGTTTGTCATAGTTCAGAATTTAAGAGATAACATGTTCTTTAGAATCAAAACATTCAGAAATATTTTTTTTTAATTCTACATCTCTGCTGTTTTTCCTACATTATCTCATGCTTTGGTTTTATTTTCCTGATTTTAGATTTTTAAAGTATTTAAATAACTCCAGTGTGCGCAAGATTTAGTGATTATGTCATCTTTCTTTAAGAATAACAAATTAAGTTACATTTCCTTAAACCTTGTAAAAATAAAACTACAGTATAACTCAGTCATTTGTACAGATGAGTTCAAATATCTCATGAACCACTGGATAGATTTTATAAAACCTTCAGAAAGGAATAATATACAGTTTGTTAAATTTTGTATTTCAAAGTATCTGATAGTCAAACTGAAAATGGATTTAACTCAACAAATTTTACTGGTATTGAGAAAAAAATTTTGCGTTTTAATCACTGAAAGTCATCCTCAACACATACTCTGAGCTCAACTCACAAAATTTTATTAGATCATGCAAAACGGCATTTACAAGGTTTGACAATAAACAGCAAACTTTCTTAATGTAGAACTTAGATGTAAACGGTAATGTGCATTCTCTCAAGAGATGCAAGGTCTTTAATTTTATTTATGTGATGGCATCAGTTTTTTTATTTCTTTTAATCCCCAGGTGCGGAGAGGCCTACCAAAAGTGCATTACTGCGCAGTGTTGCTCCATCACCTAAAGGTAAATGGACTTTTCTCCCTTCCCCATCTTTCAAACATATTGTAGTTATTAATGTAAATCTCTTGCATACTCTTAAATCACTCCTTTGCTCTCCTCTTGTCACCTTTCATTCCCTCTATCTGCGCTTTGGCAAAAACACTAAGAGAAATTTCTGCATTTTATTGAAACAAACCAGTTTTATTTTATTTTTTTTTAAGTTTCCATATAAATTTCAGTTTGTTGTGCG